ACTCTGAGAATAGTAAGAAACACAACTGTCATCAAACTATGACACGTTGATGGTCCTGTTACATGAATGGGCTCAAATTAGAAGGGATCTTAATAAAACTTGAATCGTTACTTGACGAGAACATGGTAAACATAATTGCTGATTTCACAAGGAAGACCACCTACGGGTGGGATAAAAAATGTTGGAAATCAAACATTTCATTTCATGGCTGTAATAGCTGTTTATATATTGCTACATGTTAGTTATTTTTCCTTGCTTACTAGAATACTAGGAGAGAGGATTATGATACATGCTAACATCTATTGATGAGATCAGACAGGGATTGTGTTCCAAAAATCATACTATAATCACTTATCCTTACAAAGAAAAAGTGATTACATCGGAAACCCATGATAACTATCAATTTCTGGGGAATACAATGACACTCATTACTTGACAGCGGTAACGTTTAATGCTGAATCGAATTATCTATATATCTACAATTGTCTTAAATTTGAAACTAAGGTGTTATCTTTTAGTGATCCTAATAGCCACTCAGTGACAAGTCTTAAATGGATCTTGCATCCACTAAACGTGTGTGGAGAGTTCTAGCTACTTGAAATATTCGGAAGTCTTGTAAAATGCAGAAAATTTGTTAAAATACTAGACAATAATACATGAAGAAAAGCAGAAAATGCGTAACTAGATGTGCAATAAATTCAAATATTCATATGCTATGGCAGAAGAAGTACGAGAGACATGGAGAGAGCTATCACAACAACAGGTAACATCATAAACAAAAGCAGTGTTACAATTAACTACACAATTTTCAAGGAGATATGTATGGGTCTTTTTATACTGCCAAAAAGTTACAATGTCCCCTTAAAAACTATCTGAGGTTTGTGTTTGCATTCAAGTGAGCACCCTAAGGGTTGCTTGAAGCATTTTCCATAACCTTTTTTAGTTTTTTTAAGATATGACTCAATCAAGGAAGCCTCTAATAATATTTGTAGCTTGACGCTTCTAGAAAACTCAAGCAGAAAGATAAGAAGTCCCTTCTTCCTAAGCACTACCAACAAGTATTTTTAGTTTTTCTGTATATCAGGTTTCGAATGATTCTTCCACCATGCGAAACCTAAAAGAAGAAACAGAAATTTTATATTCATATAGAAAAAACTAAAAATGTGGAAAACAGAACTCTTTTCCTATTATTATAATTTAGTGCTGATGGACATTGTTGTTTCTTATAGGATTGTTGTAAGTACTTCAGTGTTAAGGGCAGTATTCATCCTATGTCTCTAATGATTGATTATATTTTGTAATTTCCCTTGGTGATTGATGTATCCTTGGCTCTGAACTTTGGTTTATATATCAAGCTTAAGATGTCTACCCTGGTATTTAATCTTTTGACATCCATTTATTTTAAAATACTCGTCTTTACTTTTTTCTGCATGTAAATTGATGCAGCGTTGTACCACGAGGCACGAGACAGTAATTTAATTGCATTATTGTTTAGTGTGATTTCCTCTGTACAGTGCCTGGCTATAGGCTAATCCCTTTTTCTGTTGCCTGAGAAGCGCCATGGAGTTTAATGTATCATCTTTTTTCTTGCTGAATTAATATGTTTCAGGAGTTGGAAGGATCGTTGGGTGAGGTTCTCTTCAGAGATGGCATTCCAGATATCAAATTCAGTAAGGTTAGTGCTTGGTTGATCCATTATATGCCGTGATCCATTTCTTTTTCTCATTCATATTCATTGCCAAGTTGGAAGCCATCTAATCCAGTGACTATTATGTTGAGTAGCAAAGTTGAATATCTTCAGTATTATTTTGTTTGAGAGGATAAAATATAATATTTTTAACTAAACTTTGTAATATTCTTTGTCTGTCTCTACAATTATGTTAGTCATAAACGCACTCCACTATGATGAGTTGCCTCTGAGAATATTTTTATTATGAATTCTGTTATGCAAAGAGGACAACAAATCTTATTACATTTAAGTTTTGGTTATAGTGGCATCAGCTACATGGAGATAATTTTTATTCTGCATTCTATCACAGTGCTTAGAGCATCTTTCGCAAATGGATGAAGTGGATTATTATAATCCACTTTTGCATGTTAGGCAAGTGGATTATTTTGGATTATAATCCACCAAAAAATAAGCTAGGGTACCATAGCTTATTTTTTGATGGATTATAAACCTTGAAAATTTGTATTCATAGGTGGTCTAATGCTTAAATTTAGAGCCATGTCCTTTTTGGTCATTTTGACAACAATGGTGGATTATAATCTACTCATTTGCCAATTGCCAAACATGTAAAGTTTGAATTCGGATTATACTCCACCAAATGTACCAAACACTTTAGATAAGCCAAGTGGATTTTAATTTATAGTTCCGAAACATGCTCTTAAGCAACATTGTTGATAGAAGGTTTTGATGGTCATAAACTGTTCCAGTTCTTCTTGCAATTTTTTAATGTTAGCTCGAGCAACATGATTTTTTTAATTGTCTGTTTGATGT